CAGCGTAGCCGATAACACTCATAGCTCTACACAACGACTATGGCGTAATAACCATGACGTAGTTCGCAGATGGTTATGAAAATTATGAGCAAATCTGTGTACTTTCCTCACAAAGTCCTTAATACCATGCCACGTGATATTGCGTTTGTGAAGCGCGCACTGCAGCCAGTCACTCCCGCAAAACCTTGAATACTGTTCACATAGAAAAAACACTAAAGTTCGCCATTGGGCGTAAGCCAGACCTCCGTTGTCATCCATGAATGATGTAACCCCCATGTCTCTGACACGTGCGTCTGCTGTACTCCATCATACGGACATACGTACGCCGATGTCATTTTCATTTGCAACAGAGGATCTTTTTGCGACAAACGCACATGTATATTGGTGCATTCTGTGTGATTCCTTTTTTGTTTGTTTATTCTCTAAAGCTTGTTTTTACATATATGTTTGTCTGAGTGCGTCATTGGAGTTTTATTGTTCCCGTAACTGTTTCAGATAAAAACAGTGGTCAGAGCATCATTGCTTTTTTTCTGCATTGTGACATGCTATCGAAATGCCGTACAAAGTATTTTTTATTTACACGTTAGTGTAGAGACTTGCCAATCTTAGCCAAAGAGTGAAATATCCTGTAGTGAAGTATAAATTTCTTTTTATCCAATCGCTCGTAACGTAAGAGCAGCAGATCATGAAAATAAATTGCTGTGAAATACCAGTGATGAACAGAATCATATGGAAGAAGACTGTGTATCCGTTGGCATACATTATTCGCTTCCATTTAAGCGCCCTCTTAGACGTAATGTCGGATGCATAATACCAGCCTAAATCATGGATGGATGGATATGGATGGATGGATATGGCTGTACCCTTTAGATCGGGTGGTGGCTAGCGCCACCAAGCCGTAATACCTAATGAACCAAAAACTATATTTATTTTTTTTTCCTTAAAAAGTGAGTTAGAGGATTCGTACTTTGCAGTGAAGAGTTTAATTTTAACTCGTGCCTTCACTTTAGCCACCAATCAGATAACCTCCTTCTAGTTAAGTCTACCCGCTTAAAGTTTATTTTGCCCTCCCGGCCCCTAAACCCCAGTGCTTTGAAAAACTCTGCGCCATCATCCTGAACTATAGGGTGAAGCCCTTTACAGAACATTATCAAGTGTTCGGCAGTTTCTTCTTCCTCTCCACACGCACTGCATACTGTGTCTACCCCTTCATATTTGGCCCGATATGTCTTGGTTCGCAGTACTCCCGTCCTGGCTTCAAACAGTAGAGAACTACCCCGAGTATTATCATAGATCCTTTCCTTGGCAATTTCCTGCTTAAAAGTTCGATAGATCTCTAGTGCGGACTTCTTAATCAAGCCCATTCTCCACATGTCAGTCTCCGTTTCCTTCACTTTCTTCTTAACCGATAGTTCTTTTAGATGCGGAAGCATCTTATACTCGCGCCTTGTAGTGCGCCGTCCGCGCCGTCCGCGCCGTCCGCACCGCTTCTCGAACATTCGACAGCTGACGCGCGCGCATGCGCCGTCGCGCCGTCGCCCACCATCTGTGCCGCGCGCGCTTCTCCTTCGAGAACATTCGACAGCTGACAGCGCATGCGCCGTCGCGCCGTCACCATCTGTGCCGCGCGCGCGCTTCTCCTTCGAGACATTCAACAGCTGACAGTGCATGCGCCGTCGCGCTGTATATATACTCAAGGTCGGCGCTCGCTCGCTCAGTTGCCGCTCGTCGGTTGGTTTGTACGGCGCGTCGACGTCCAAGGTCGCGGTGAAATGAATTCCAACGAATCCACAAACACAATGATCGACGTCCCTTCGACCAGCGCCGTCCTTTCGCATACGTGTGTATGTGTTCACTCATTTAACACCCTTTCCTACAACCACGTTAACCAATTTAGCCATCGACCCAAGTAAGTCGCAATTTAACACCCCATTTCACAACCACGTTAACCAATTTAGCCATCGACCCAAGTAAGTCGCACTTTAACACCCCGTTAACCAATTATATGATCCGCATCCTCCTCAGTGTTCCCCCGAGGGAAGCTGCGGGCAATTTTTTTGGTTTGGCCACCTGCTGTTTTCTAAGTATTTACCAGTCAACTTCCTGGTTCACTTTCTCCATTTTGTATCGACATTCTTCATGTACAAGTAGCTGAAAACCTTCCTAGCCCAACGCTCTTCCCCCATTTCTCTCAATCGTTTCTCAAATTTTATCTTGCTGCTAGCTTCCCTGCCCTCAAATGATGTCCATCCCATATCACCTTGTACTCCCTGATTTGGTGTATTCCCGTGAGCTCCTAAAGCAAGCCTACCTATTCCACGTTGCTTAATTTCTAATCTTGCTTGAACTTGTGATCTCATGCACAAGACCGCATTGCCGAACGTCAGCCCAGGAACCATGACCCCTTTCTATATTCCTCTCACAACATCATACCTATTGTAATTCCACAGTGCCCTATTTTTCATGACTGCTGCATTCCTGTTACCTTTAGTAGTCAGGTATATTTCGTGTTCCCTCAGATACTCGGTCCCATTGCTTATCCATACGCCCAGATATTTGTATTTATCTGTTATCTCTAGCGTGACCTCCTGTATTCTAAGCTCACTACCTTCGTTGTCATTGAAAATCATGACTGCTGATTTTTCCTTACTGAATCTAAAATCTAACCTATCTCCCTCATTACCGCAGATGTTCATCAATCTCTGCAAATCTTCCTTGTTGTTGGTCATTAGCACTATATCATCTGTGTACATTAATGCTGGTAGTGCCTGATCAATAAGTTTTCCTTGTTTGACTAAAGAGAGGTTGAAGCCCAGTCCACTTCCCTCTAATTTTGCCTCTAATCCTTGTAGGTACATCATGAATATTAAGGGTGACAGGGGGCAACCCCTGCCTAAGCCCCCGTTTTAACCTCTGCAGGCTTGGATACCTGTCTTTCCCACTTTATAACTACCTTGTTACCTTTATAGATACCCTTTAAAAGATTAGTGACTACATGTTCCACGCCTAGTGTGTCCAGTATTCCCCACAATTCCTCTTGAACCACGCTATCGTACGCTCCCTTGATATCCAAAAATGCTAGCCACAGGGGCCTGTGTTCCTTTTATGCTATTTCGATGCACTGCGTCAGTGAGAACAGATTGTCTTCCAACCTCCTGTGTTTCCGAAATCCATTCTGCAGTTCCCCCAGCACCCCCTCATCCTCTATCCACGCCTGCAGTCTTTCCTTTATAATCTGCATCGCCAGCCTGTAGACCACTGATGTCACTGTTATAGGACGGTAGTTGTTTATGTCAGCTTTGTCCCCCTTTCCTTTATAGATCATGCTCATCCTGCTAAGTTTCCATCCATCGGGAACATTACCATCGATTATTATTGTGCTCACTGCCTCTCTCAAAGCCTGCTTAGACTTCGGACCTAATGTCTTTATCAGCCTAATTGGAATGCCATGTGGGCCTGTTGATGTACTACTAGGAACCCTTTTCTCAGCCCTTTCCCACTCTTGTTGTGAAAATGGAGCCATTCCACCACTTGATTCGTCCTTGTCTATTGTGGTGCATAAAGTACTTCTTTGTTGAAATTTTTCTGTCACCCTTGTTCTTATATATTCAATAGCTTCGTCCCCTTCTAGCCTAGCACCTTGGGCTGTAGTTATAAAACTCTGCTCTAGGCTCGTCTCATTTCTTAAGGAGTTTAGATGGTTCCGAAATTTCGCAGCTGCCTTTCTATCTTTTTTATGTACTTCTGCCAGCCACTGAGCTCCCTTCCTTCTAATCTTTTTATTGATCAGAAGGGATGCATCCCTTCTACAACTTAGAAAGGTTGCCTATTTTCTTTCGACATCATCTGTCGGTTCACCCCGCTGCTTAGCATGTCTGTGTTCCCTAGAGGCTTCCTGACGTTTTGCTATGGCTCTCTTAACTTCCTCATCCCACCAACTTTTGGGTTTGTGTGTCATAATCTGTGTCATCAGCGCCACTTAGCGTGCCCGGCACATCGCATGATGCTGTGGTTTATATTAAATGCAAAGCTTTTCTTAGTGAACCTAAATCACTTGATTCTGCTTATCCAGCTTCCTACATTTGAGCGCTCTCGTTATTTACTTCTTACCTTAATGAATACAGAAATTGGCGTCAAACGAATTGAGTTTACGATACGCAATCATGACATGAGTAACGTGACTTGCCTCTTGCGTAGGTCATGAAACTTTTTGCAGCTGTGAAGTGACCAGCTGCAAATTTCTCACATTCGCCAAGATCTCGGGGCCGTACTTCACATTTTTGTTGAATGCCATGCAGTGACGCTACAAATAATTGCGCTCACACTCAAATGTCTTCTATTTTGCTTCTCATTTAAAGTTACTTTTTGTAGCAATACGTAACAACTGAAGCTAATTTTAAGAAAAACAAAAGCTAAAACAGTATATCTGTAAACAAGAAGCTGCATTATAAAATATATCAAAAACTCGGTATCTATAACCCGGGTCTTTCAAATGGGAAGTGGGCATTCTACCTGTGCACCACTTTGGTGGAGGCATGCGCTACTGCCCCGCCGCGGTGGTCTAGTGGCTAAGGTACTCGGCTGCTGACCCGCAGGTCGCGGGTTCAAATCCCGGCTGCGGCGGCTGCATTTCCGATGGAGGCGGAAATGTCGAGGCCCATGTGCTCAGATTTGGGTGCACGTTAAAGAACCCCAGGTGGTCAAAATTTCCGGAGCCCTCCACTACGGCGTCTCTCATAATCATATGGTGGTTTTGGGACGTTAAACCCCACAAATCAATCAATCAGGCATGCGCTACTGTTAAAACGACGACACATTGTAGACAATAAACCCCAGTGCCCGAAGTGGTCTTGCCCTGTTTGGGCTTCACTTTTTGAAGCTCGTTCCGGGCCCTCCCCTGTTCGCGTACTGTCTAACTCGACTCTAAAGTATGAGGTGAGGGCAAAAAAAAAAAAAACTGAGTAGTAAAGACAACAACGAAAGTTTAAGTGTAAACAACTTTATTAAAGCAGATAATTGAGAGCACATCTTTGTGAAGACAATCGAGCATGTGCCATAACGTTGGCCGTAACACTATTATTAAACAGAATGCCTACTCGCCTGCTAGCAGCGGTACTGGTTAGTGCATTATGTGTATTGATGACTGTCATCCGATGACAACGGTGCTTTTGAGGCACACGCTCATTCCCTTTTCACCACGAATCTTGATCTCCACGTCAGTTTTCATCTGTAATAATAAAAAAATTAGGAGCCAGTCATTAGCGAATGAACTTGTAATAATCACTGTTCTCAGCCTATTGCTTGTCCTCTGCAAAGTCAAGGACTGTCCCAGTAGGCTCGAATTATTCTAATCATTATCGAGCTTCTCATATTTTACGACTGCGTGCTTCTTGATTTTATCACCTCACCTGATCGTGATGGTCAGCTGTACTTCTCAACTCTTGGTGTCCACCGAGTTCTGACCACCTCCCTTTAACGCGTAGCATTAATCAAGCGCACTTTTTATCTATCTATCTATCTATCTATCTAATCATCTATCTATCTATCTATCTATCTATCCTATCTATCTATCTAGCTAGCTATCTACTATCTATCTATCTATCTATCTATCTATCTAATCTATCTATCTATCTATCTATTATCTATCTATCTATCTATCTATCTATCTATCTATATATGTATAATTTATATATATTATATATAAAATTTATATATATATTTATGTATATATTATATATTAGTATATATATTATATATATTATATATCTATATATATTATATAATATATGTTATATAAATGTGAGTAATAATTCAATGACGCAGTTAGTCTTCGTGAGGGTATGGCATATGAGTGTCTTGGATATAGGCACAAAGGGAGTGTTGTCAACAATAATAATATATTTGTTTGCCAACAGTTTCGGGAGGGTCCTCCTTAATCATGGATGTTTATACTGTCTTAAAGTTTGGAAATTCCTGTCAGTAATAACTCATCCCCTGATGAGGGAGACCGCTTTCGAACTGTTGGGAAATAGATATATTTACCTTGTTGACAACGCTCCCGTTGGCATATCCTATTATAGTATATATATATATTATATATAGTCCCTTTCAAAGAAAAAAAAGTAGATGAAAATCCGGATACCAGTACGCAAGGATAATAAGCGTTAGAGTTAGCAACTCACCTTAGGTATGTACCACGGTGGGTCCAATTCCATGGTGCCCTTGATGGCGTCTCCTTTCACGATGGGGCATTCGATGCCACGCTTGCACAGGTTATTCTCCACACCGGGAACGGATACCCAGAAGCCCAAAAATTTCATCTTGGCTTCAAGCTTAAGCGTATCGCTGTCTTGGTCTGCGGGCGACATAAACAAGCACGCGTGTCATTGGACTGACATCACTGAGTATCTTGAAGTGCGCATGAAATAGGCAGTGTTGCAATGCAACCATGGTGCGCACTATAGAGCAGGACAATACTTTCAGTGCTGCCTATTTCATTAAGGATGTTCCAGCCAGCCTCGGCACAAGCACCTATAGGGTGCACTCATCACACTTCGTTAAGGTGAAAAAGAAAAGAATAGGTCGCACGTATCGTGCTTTTGAATAGCGAAATGGTGAGAAGTTACGATGTAGATAGAATGCTCCGTCATCGAAAAACTGTCTTTATTACCAAATATTTTATTTACTTTACAATCGTCACTCACATTTCTTGCTGACGTGAAATGAACACAAAGGAGGAAACAAAACAAATCTTTTTTTCTCATCACTACAGGAACTTTAACATTAAAGTAAAGTATGAAACATCTCCCAGAAAGGAACCGCGATTGAATGCAAAGCAGCAGGGGTGTGCAAGGCGTTGACCTGGTGAAATGGGCGTCGAGTCGGTTGCTGGAAGAACGGTTCGAAGCGAAACTCACTGTTGCAATTACTCGAGTAAACGTTTGTTTGAAACACCAAGACACAGTGGCCGGGCTTATTTTATTTATTGAATTTTGTGAGACTAAACAGGCTCATACAAGAGTGAGCATTGAATACGTAGGTCAATTTTGCAACAGCGTAAGAGAAACAGTTATCAACTTATCACACTTCAACACAGTTGGTTTGCGACAAAGTCTTATACATTGATCAAAGCGAAAAACAACGCGTCTGTAAGGGTGCTGTGGACGCGCAATTAAATCTGTCTAGTGTTTCCACTCGACATGCCGTCGAGCGTTGCGGGGGGTGGAGAGGGTAAGCGAGAGAGAAGTGTCGAGGGAGATTAGCGAGAGAGAAGAGAGAGAGTGACATCAACGCGCTGCTGCGACTTGACCTATTTGGCATCGTTGCAGCAACTGCGGCGAAAGAGGCGTGGTGTGGCGCGTTGGCACGGAGACACGGACGGACAGTGTTACACAGGCTGCATGGTCAAAGAGCTGCTTTACATATAATAACATAATTTATGCAGCTATTACTTTGAGAACTGCCACATACACCTGCATAGGTTGGCAAACCCCTTCATGGATCAACTCACTTAGACTTTTACACTCGGATCGAGTCAAGAGTTTGGTTCTGAATGAGTCCGAGTGAGTAGTATTGTGGTGAGTTTCAGTTCTAGTGAGTCTAGTTGACAAACATTTTAGAGATGCAAATTCAAGTGAGTATGGTTGTTGAAGATTTTAGTGAGCCTGAGAGCGAGTGAACCCAAAATGGGAAATATATTTCTAAAGTGTGTCTGTGTCAGCTTCATATTTTACGCTGATATATAGCTTCTTATCTAGTAAACATCAGCATTATTAACACCTTTAAGTCGGCTCAAGCTTATACTCACGCATCGTCACTTCAATGCAGTAGCCTTGATACGCCAGAACAATATTTATTGATGAAGGGTGCGAGTTACATAGCCGGAGGTAAGATCATTGGTGTTTTTCGTCGCGCCGTTTCATAATCATATCATGAATCATTTCCCACGCGGTCAACAATTATTGCTTACGGGGGTTGGAGTCTTGGAGATGTCTTAACACCCCCCCCCCCCTTCTCTTTCTCCGCGCGCAACCTATTTCACGGGAAGCTCTTCATACAAACATCTCAACAACGTCATCTCGTGGCACTCATCTCATTTAACAAAATGCCCTTACTGAATGACAACCATTGGTAGCCCGTATTTAAAGCTATAACAAAAAACGCGCACGCGCGCGTGTGTGCGTGTGTGCGTGTGTGCGTGTGTGCGCGTGTGTGTGTGCGTGTGCGTGCGTGTGCGTGTGCGTGTGTGGTGTGTGTGTGTGTGTGTGTGTGTGTGTGTGTGTGTGTGTGTGTGTGTGTGTGTGTGTGTGTGTGTGTGTGTGTGTGTGTGAGAAAGAAGAAAATGAAACATGCACTATTTTCTGCCTCCCATCTCGGGGGCACGGCTCAGCGTTATGTATGGATATCAAAATGTGCTAGTTAGAGCCACGAGTATGCGAGATACTGAAGTTCCAGAGCTTTGACATCATGGTCGAGATGGTAATTGTACGTTGACAGACTGATGAGTCCACTCACTCAAACTCAGAACGAGCCGCCAGTCTGAGTCTGAGCGAGTCCTAGGGAGTAATGTTTTGGTAGGTGTGAGTATAAATAAGTGAACTTGAGTTTGAATGGGTAATACTGAGGAAATCAAGATATAAGCCAGCCCTCACACACCGTGGCCCTGGGGACAAGGCATATTTAGTGTATGAGGCCGCGTTAGCTCCACATCTTTTGCGGACCTATGTGCATTTGGGAAATATTTTAGCGTTGTTCTTTTCTTGGGCGCATGCAGTGATATCGTCGTTTCCACGTGATTAGACATTTCTCGCGATCAGACGACGTCATTAGGTGACACTGGCAGGAAACACTGAGTAACTCGTTTTGGAAGCTTTACAAACATTTCCAGCGTATTTCTTTCTTTCTTGACGTTAGCTGATGACTTAGTCGGGAAGAAAATCGTGCTTGAAAGGTTCTTCAGTTTTTGTGGAGTTCATATCAAAGGAACAGAACGCGTTTTCAATCGAAGCCCGTAAGCTGCGTTTGTGATTTGTGTAAGAATGTTGGTTAAATAAGCCGATAACTATTGACTACAAGTTATGGACGACGTAAACGTTGTGGCAGCCAGTGCCATATCCTCCTCGTGGATGCTGTGATGGCGCATATCGTTGACGTCATCCCTAACTATTATCGGTTTCTCGCTCGCTAAAACAGCTTTGCTCTTGGTAAAAACAATCGGCTTTGACCATAATTACAGGCTCTTTCGATTGTTTGTGTAGTCGTAAAGGTTTCGTTTCAATGCTCCATGTCATAATTTCTATTCTGCTTTCGAAGAAAAGGTCACTACAACAGTGGGAGCTCATAATCGTATACAAGCAGTCGGTAGACTTACCTTCGTGAAATAATCACATCTGTGCGTTCGTAAAAACGTACCTGAAATCAACGAGAAGATGACCTTTGTCGTTTTACTACGCTTGAATACGCAGGGGTCGGAGTCACACGGCTCTACTTCGACCGAAAGGATTTTGGCTTTCGAGCCTGCGAGGAAGGAGGACACAAGAGGAAAGTTTTGTGTTAGACAACAAAGAAAAAGCTTTAATGGACAAGACGAATGAGAGAGTAGCATTTGTACGTGCAGGTTAATGAGAAATATTTGGGGGACGTAAAACGGTGCTTTGTTAACAAAGCCCACAAGAAATAAGAAAAACAGGAATAATAGAGCAAGGGCATTATATGTAAAATGTGAGAACGTGGCGGGAAGTTCAACCTAATTGCGCCTCCGGTTTGTCGCTCTGCCTTACACCTAGGGGAAAGAGCATTCAAATAGTTATTGCTATGGAGTATAGTGTTGGAATGGTTCTGTGCATGACTTGATATGTTCAGTGTGCTAAGACAGAGACAGAAAAGGAACATTTACACGGAATAACGATTATCCTGTTAACTGCTTACCATGTACTAACGAGTCACGCCCTTCTTAGAGTTAACAGACATCAGCGAATGATTACAGCGAGTGACAGTGCATAGAAAGCAGTATAATGTCTTTCAATGATTTCGTTTTCTCACACATGCAACCTATTTCGCACGGCTGCCCAACAGTGCCACGTGAATTGACTAGCCAAAAAGGCCTCGACTACAGAAAATTTGAAGTCGTTCAGGCATTATCCCTGTTCCCCATCATGAAAGTTAGCACATTAATGCTTAGCACATTAATGCTGAAGCCCTAACTTAGCACGTCAGTGCTAAGTTAGGGCTTCATTCTGTCATTTGTTTGTTCTCGCTTCAGTCATCGTAATTCGGGCTGTAGAAATCATGCAATGAGCAAATATTTGCAAACTAAGAGTAAATTAGAGTAAATATAAGCTGCAACACGAAGCTGTGCTCCTTACCACAGTCTCTGTACTTGAATGGTCCTCGTTGAGCAAAGGCCAGGCTGACAAGGAGTACTAGGACAACGATTATGGTCTTCATCGTGTATACTGCTTTACTCGTACCTGGTAGAGACAAGTCGAGGTGGCACGAAGGTACGCAGTGGTGAGCATCGCCTTAAATAACTGAACAACTGGGAGAAATTCCCTCCTGTCGGTGTTCACGTGCGCTTTTGAATGCCTGCGTTAGCCGTCACTGTGTACACAGTGTCCCTGTATATTGGCCGTTACAATAGTATCTGTAGGTTCCAAAGGCACTGCGTGATAAAGGGGGCGGATAGGTAAACGCGGAACTTAAAACACCACGACTATTACATGCCTATTGGCAATCCAGACACTGGTCGATTGTTTTTCAACGCGAAAAAGAGAGCTCATTCAGGCAGAGGAGCCAAGGCGGAAGTACACGGTGCCCGGCTTATGTGCGCGAAGATGCACGAACCATGGAGGCCCAAAAGAGCATGTTCTCCCATTCGGCGACGTTGGAGCAAGGCTGTTGGTATGTGCTGCTGAGCTGAGACGCTACTCGACATGTATGACATTTGCCTGTTGCTATACACGCTACACGCAAAAGCAATGAGAATAATATATAGCGGATCTCCCTGCCACCACTTTCTCAGGCGTCGGTTTATGGTAACAGTGAGATCTGCTTGTAAACTCTACTTGTCGCGCAGGAGTGTAGGTTTTCGGCTGATCTGTTAAAAGCAGTCTGAGGGTCGAGGTGGCCGACATACGTTTAGACTGAATGGCACCGGTGCTGTGAGATCTCCAGATAGGTTATAGGCGCGTATTGTTCATATTGTGGTCACCTGTTTGCTCCATACGTTGTACGATCTTTAATAAATACGTTGGACTTTGTAGACACGAGCGTATAAATCTCTAGCTTTTTTCCCCTTCAACCGGACTCACTCGGACTCGGCTCACTGAAATAATGCCCAAACTCAAGCTTACAGGCTTCATCTGAGTCTGAGAGAGTTCGAGTGAGTTGACTCAGGAGCCGGTAACCCAGATTTACCTTTCTCGATCAGGACCCACCAATGCTTTTTAACGCCAGTATGTCACGAGATCGGAGCTCTTTTTGGAGTATTTTGATATAAAATCTTCGAAAACCAGTTATGAGTGACTGCAAGCCAGTAAGGCATTTTTTTAAAGAGATGACAGCATAAGATATTGCGACATAGGAGATTAAGAGCAGAAGATATCAACCCCAGTGCGTATCACTGTAATCTGACCTTCTGTTCAACGGCCACAAGTTCGGCCTAATAAGCAGTTTAATCTTGGACCTAGAGTCTGCTCCCTCCATTCCCGTCATGACTCCGTCACGACACCTTGACATCGGGTGGAGGTGCTGCTTTGTTCATGTGCTAAACGCCCCCCTCCCCCCACTCGCCCTCTAGTAAAACCGTGAACCCAGCCCCAGTTGAGAAGGAGACATGGACGCCAAGATCGAGAAGCGAGCTTGCTGCAGGCAACGAAGGGTTACATTTAGAGTACGGAGCTCTACCCGATAAGACTCGCCAGCCCAAGGCCACAGCCACTACTGCGACAACTATTACAGCCCCTGTGCCAACGCTAGCCACGGTTGTAATGCAGCAGCCAAGAGAGCCACCGAGCTTCCATGGATCCCCTAGTGATGACTCGGAGACCTGGTTGGAGAGAGAGAGAATAAACTTTTATTAACGACAAATGCACACTGAGCCTTCTTTGGGTGGGGCCCTCAGTCCACGGGCTCCATTGCCTTGCGCGGCCCTGCGAGCCCGCTGGACCAGCTGCTGCTGTTCCTGCCGGCGTAAGCTGAGCAGTGCAGACTCCCAAAAGGAAGGGGTGGGATTGGGAATGGAAGGAACGCCCTGTGGGGCAGAGCATTCCCCCGTGGAGTGGTACACCGTCGGTACGGATCCACAGAAGGGGCAGTAGGAGGGGTAGAGAGTCGGATGAAAGCGATTTAGCATATACAGGCAAGGAAATGAATTGGTCTGTAGTTGCCGCCAAGCGACAGCACCTGCTCTGTTAAGTGAAGGATGAGGGGGAGGATACGTATAACGGCTCTGTCGGTAGCACTCCAGCGTAGCGTTGTAGTTTAGTGGTTCTGTCGATGCGTCGTCTGGATTGGACACCTCTTTCAATGGAGCCCGGCCGGTCAGCTCTCGGGCAACCGTATGAACGCGTTCATTACCATGGAGAGAGGCGTTTCCAGGAGTCCAGACGATACGCACAGGACGTAATGCGGATGGTGAGACAGAAGAGAGGATATTGTGTGTATGTGCAGCCACAAGTCCTTGAGCGAAAACACGGCAAGCAGCTTGTGAATCTGTTACAATAGTGACAGGGGAGTCATGTGACAGTGTCGTAGCGTGAACAATTGCCAGAGCGAGAGTTTCCTCCTCTGCCAGACCACTGTCAGTAGTGCGAAGTGTGGCAGACGCCACAAGGGCGCCTGTGTCATCTGTCACGGCTAAACACATGGCTTACTCCTCTGGATAGCGTGCTGCATCAGTGTAAAGTACTTGTAAGTCTGAGGTACCATCACCAAAGACGCGTGTCATAGCCTGAACTCGGGCACGTCGACGACCGGCGTGGCGGGAGGGATTCATATTGCGTGGAATCGGAGGCACTTTGATGAGTGCGCGGACAGTAGAAGCAAGTTTATGTCGCGGTATTTGCGCGGGTTTTTCGGGAATCGGGTAGCCAAGACGAGGCAGGATGGCGCAGCCCTGACAGGTCTGCCTGAGCCGTTGGAGCTAACTGTTGTGCTGGGCCTCAATGAGTTCGGTTACGGTGTTGTGGACTCCTAATTGAAGGAGGCGTTGTGTAGATGCGCGTGAAGGCAAGCCGATAGCCGCCTTCACAGCTGTCCGTAGAAGGATGTCCATCTTTTTGATTTGAGCTAGCATGAGATTGTGAAAGGGAAGATGATAGGTGAGCCGGCTAACTATAAGTGCTTGTACTAAGCGGAGGACATCCTTCTCACAGAGGCCTCTCCTGCGATTGGTGATGCGTTGGATCATGTGTGTAATTTGAGTTATCTGCTGAGCCAGAAGGTGTGTAGTGTGCGAGGCCTTGCCGTCGGACTGAAGGTAGAGGCCTAAAATGCGAATTCGTGGTACCAGAGGGACAGGATGACCATCAAGAAACAGCGAAATGTCAGGAGAATCAGCGGTTTTGCGGCGCCGCTTGTATACCAATAACAACTCCGACTTATCCACTGAGCACGTAAGGCTGCCGGCAGAAGCATATTCTTGTACCACAGACACAGCTTTCTGTAGGGCGTCCTGAATGGTTTCGTCTGATCCTTTGGTTACCCAAATTGTAATGTCATCTGCATATATGGCATGCTGGATGTTGGGAACCTGTTGTAATAGGGAAGGGAGTTTAGCCATAGCCACGTTGAACAAAGTGGGCGAGAGAACCGAGCCCTGTGGTGTTCCTTTGCCTGCGAGACGAATGACGTCCGAACGGAGGTCTCCAATCACAATAGTGGCCGTGCGGTCAGAAAAAAAGGACCTGACGTAATTGTAGATACGTGAGCCACACTGAGATGAAGCGAGATTGTCAAGAATAAGGTCGTGGGAGACGTTGTCAAAAGCACCCTTCAGATCCAGGGCCAGAATAGCTCGGACCTTGTTTGAAGTGGGGCTATCCAACACGTCCTCCTTAAGCTGTAATAATACGTCCTGTGTAGACATACCAGGATAGTAACCGTATAGTGTATCAGGAAAAAGTGATTGTCTCCAAGAAATGGTTGTAGTCGAGAGAGGACAACGCGTTCAAAGAGTTTGGCTACACATGAAGTTAAGGATATAGGGCGAAGATTCTGGAGGGATAGCGGCTTGCCAGGCTTTGGAATTAGTATGATTTCTGCGTGTCGCCACTCCTGCGGTAGCGTGCCGTTTTTCCAATGTTCGTTGTAAAAAGCGGTTAAATATTCGATGGACTGGTCATCTAAATTACGCAGAAGTGTGTATGTAATCCCGTCTGTACCGGGTGCTGTGTTGCGCTTAATGCTTTGCAAAGCTGCCCTAACCTCTGCTTCTGTAATGTCCTCATCTAGAGGCGTATCGTGTACGTGTGGATAATCACGGTAGGCGGGACGGGGGCCCGTGCATACATAGTGTTGCTTTAAGGTGTGCAGCAGAGTAATATCGTCGAGCCCTGATTTGTGGAGAATAGTGCGGATTGCGTTAGCAGTGTGTGATTTTGTCTGCGTGGGATTTAAAAGAGCACGGAGTATACGCCACGTTCGAGGCGTACTTAGTGAGCCGTTGAGTCGATCACAGAAGTTATGCCAATTGTTGTTAGTGAGGATGTTCGCATAGTCATGTGCATCAGTAGCTAGTCGGGCGATTCGGAGACGAAGTTTTCGGTTATGTTTCTGTCGCCGCCACCGCCGTGTCAAATCGCTGTGGGCATCCCAGAGATGTAGCAGATGCCGGTCCACATCCGGCGTTTCTGTCGTCGCAGCGATGAGTTTGGTAGCTCTTTGAAAATCGGAGTGAAGTGGTAATATCCAAGCCTCTAGGGAAGGAGAGTCCTGATGGGTAGTTGTACGATTACGCCTAAATGCATCCCAATTCGTTAGTTTTATGATGCGCTCTGGAGCACGCGTGGCTGCTACTTGGAGCTCTGTAGTTAGTATATGCATGGTGATCACTGCCTAGGTTCACCATGAGGTTGCACCAGGAATGGTGACTAACGCCCTTGACTATCGTGAGGTTGGGGCATGTGTCCCTGCTCACACTATTACCTAGGCGAGTGGGTTGATCAGGTTCTGTCAGCAGGGCCATGCGATGAATTGCGAGAACCTGTGCGAGTCGTCGGCCTTTAGGCGTTTCTGTTGCGTAGCCCCAAGCCGGATGGGGGGCATTGAAATCTCCTACAATAACTATTTGTTTACCCAACTTGCATAGTTGTGTAAATAGATGACCGAAGTCATCGTTCCTGGCGTTAGGTGTATTGTAAACGTTAAGCACGTACAGGCTGCTACTGGAACGAGAGCACTGGACTAATTCGAGAAGTACGTGTGAGATGGAGGTGCTTTGAAGGGTGTGTTCTATGACAGTGACATGCTTAGAAACTAATGTAGCTGTGCGAT